GGGGCAGGGGCTGGCCGGGGGGCAGGAGGAGCACTGGGCTGGAGAGCTGCCCCTGGCCTGTGCGCGCGCCTCGCTCAGCGACGAGGCCGTGCTGTGTTTGAACTGCGCTGCTGCTGTTTGCCCAACATCCGCTTGTGGACAGCGGTCCTACCTTTCGACCTCCAGGCGAGGTGAAACAAGGCTTCTCTCCTCCTCTCCTATAGTTTCTCTACCTTACGTTATTTTTTCTTGAATGTGGCTGCGTCCATAGGTGTGAGTATTTCCAAAGAATTCTCCCTTTTGCATTACCTAGTAACTTCAACACCTTCATATCTTTATTAGAAACAACTCAAGCAGAGCTCATTTGTTTGTTTGCCTTTTTTCACAGATGAATCATTTTGCTGGCCTGTAATCCTCCTGTGATTCGTTAATATGCTAAGGTCTTTCTCCACCACTATCACAACCAGCTAAAAAGCCTCTAATGTCCACTGATGTTATTAGCATTAGTTCTGGACCAGCCTATGCTGGAGGTACAAGTGCTTTGCTTGTTTTGTAAAGTAACTGGTTTTACTCAGTGGAATAAATCTTGTTTTGTAGATGATTCCCTAAAGACAGCTCTGTGTTGGTTTGTACCATCTTTAAAGCTGTCCTGCTAATCTTGGTAAAATGCATTTCTGACGTATAGCTCCACATTATATTTCTAGTTTGCCTGATTATGCACTTTAAGCTTATACCTTATAACTTCTCTGAGACTAGCTATTTTATAGCTTGTTTAGTTTCAGATGCATTTGTGCTCATTTCCTTACTGCAAAGACATCCTCTAGGAATCTGCTGGAATTATTTTCCTTACTGCACTGTCTTGTCAGAATGCCTAAGTCTTCTAATCACTTACAGCTTCTCACAGGGATGCTGTATGCGTCAGGGCCGTATATGTTTCCCCTAGTCTTTCTAAAATAAAAATCTTTCTCTCTACAGATCCATTTTGCTTCTTGTTTTTAAACTTGTTTTCTATCTTTCCTGATGATTGTTGCAGGCCAAAGGTTTGTTGTGCTGTGTCGGTGTGTGCTACTGAGCTATACCTTGAGGCACTTTTATTTTGGTAAGGGGTAGCATAAATAAAAGGGGTAAAATAATAACAACAATAACAATAATAATAATACAAATAATAATAATAATAGGTAGTATTCTCCTTTATCTGCCTAGCTAAATTAAAAGATTCATTTCAAATGATAAACTTAGTGTGAACACACAGTAGTAGTGCTGTTTTCAGCAAAAAGGACATTGCTATAACTAAGAATAAAATGGAGATCCTTTTTTTTTTCGGTCCTTAACTCTTATTATTCCCTTGTTTTGCTAGCTCTTTCTATTTCAATTCTTCCTATTTTCTGTAAAATTACTCATGTTCTCTGTTTATCTTTAATCCCGCTGCATACCTTCCTGC